CGGATTATCGGAAATGGCGAGTTACAGAGTCATGGTGGGAGGTTGCACAAGACAAGGAGCTTCGGCCATAGTTTTTTAAATTTTTTTTTTTTTTTATCATCGTCATTATTATTATTATTATCATTATCATCATTATTACTATTTTTTTTTTATTTTTAACGAAAGAGCAAAGTACGGACAATAATTGAAAACGCGCGAAAGAAAGAAAGAAGGAAGGAAGGATGGAAGGAAGGATGGAAGGAAGGAAGGAATGCACGCACGGAGACACACAGAACACATTCAGAGCAAAAGATTCGAGCACACACGCAGGGGCGCGCACGCACGCACGCACTCACTCGTTCGTTTTAAAAATGTCTACCAACCAAGAAGAACGCAAAAGGTAATTACGAACTAATTAAATTTAACAATAAAAGAAAAAAGAAAAGAAAAGAAAAGAAAACGGAAAATTTGCGAATCGCGTGATTTATTCGATCTCGGTGATATCCGGATGGGGGGGAAGGGGGGGGGATCGTAGCGAGTGCACAGCGAGACAGTTAAAATGATAAACCGGAAAAACTATTGACACCACCACCAATACCGCCGTCACCACTACCACCACCGCCACCACCACGACAACGCTCAAGCATAAAATGTTATTTTATGAAAAAATTAAAAAAAAAAGAAGAAGAAGCCATATTTATTTATTATTGTTATCATTATTATTATTATTATTATTTTTTTTTTTTACAAATAGAGTAAAAGAAAAGAAAGAGAAATCAAACAATAAATATTATTATTATCATGTGCTCCAAAAAAAAAAAAATTTTTTTTAAACTTTGAAATAAAAAAAAAATTAAATTTATGGGAAGGGGTGGGAATTTAAACCGGGGGTGGGGGATAGGCGTAACGTAAGAAAAAAAAAGACGGATGATTTCGCCGACGTTAAATTATCACCATTATCATTATTATTATTATTATTTCGTAGATTTACGTAACGTATCTTCCAGAAAATTTTCTTTTTTTTTTTTTTTTCGTGTGTTTGTTTGTTGTGTATTCCTCCTCCTCCTCCTCTAACAACAACAACAACAACAACAAATTTCAATGCTTCCAATTGTTACAAATAATTATCCTTAACGTTGTTGTTTGTTTGTTTTTTTAAAAATTATTATTATCATTATTATTATCGATTTTTTTTTATTGGGGGGAGGGAGGTGGGATGGGAAAATTAAAAAGTTTAAAAAATTTTATTTTTTATTTTTAAATGTGTGGCCTTGTCTGTGATAAAAAATTGTGCGAATAAGTATGATTATTATTATTATTATTTTTTTTTTTTTTAAAAGAAAACAAACATCATCATCATCATCGCGAAACCCATAGAGTAAATATATATATATATATATAATAATAACTCCGCCCAAACTTCCCTTTTTTATATGGTTTTTGTTTGTTTCGGTTGTTTGTTGTTGTCGATTCGACAAAAATTAAAAAAATTTTTTTCTTCTTTTTGTTCTTCTTCTATAAAACTAACACAAGAAAATAAAGAGAGAAAGAGAGAGAGAGTGGGAGTGAAAGAGAGAGAGAGGATAAATATACGACAAGAAAAAGAATATATATATATATATATATATATTTTTAGACTGTCAATTTTGAAATTAATTGTTAATTATTAAATTTATTAATAAAATTAATAATAATAATAATAAAAATAATAATTATAATAATAATAATTGTTAGACTATGATTCATTTATATTATAAATAATTAAATAAATAAAAATTATTATTATTATTATTATTATTATTAATCTGTTAAAAAGAAGAAAAAAAATTTTTTTTTTTTTTATTGTTAGAGAATTATATATATATATATATTTAAATAAATAAATATGGATAATTATTATTATTATTAATCTTTTTTTTTTTTTTAAATTTGTTTAAATAATAACTGTCTTTATTTTATTTTAATTTTCGGAAATTTTATTTAATAATAGTAATAATAATAATAATAAGTACAAATTATTTTTTCTATTATTTATCCGTTATTATTACGCCATCATCATCATCATCTCGTTATTATTATTATTATTATTTTCACATCGAATCGAAATTTTTTTTTTTCCCCCCCATTATTATTTTTATTATTATTATTATTATTATTACGTAACAAACATCATCTTCATTATTATTATTACTATTATTCCTGTTTTTTTTTTTTTTTTTAAACGAATTTGTAATTTTTATTATACAAACAAAAATCAATTTTAATATTATTATTATCATCATCGTAACTAATTATTATTATTATTATTAGTATAATATTGCCATCGGTAATATATATATATATATATAAATATGTGAGAGGTGATTTATTATTATTATTATTATTAATTGTTTACGATTGCGAAAAGTAATTTTTTTTTTTATTTAAATAAAATCAAATGAACGTAAATTAAAATGATAATAATGATAATGATGGTGATGATGATGGTAATGATAATGGCGATGATGATGATGATGATGATGATGATGATGATAATGTTAGGATTTGAATTTTTATTAAAAGTTTATTTTATATGTTTAATAAATAAATAAATAAATAAGTAAATTATTATTATTATTTTTAAAAAAAAGGCTAAAAAAATTCATCCGAAATTATCCGATTATCCTTTGTTTATTTTTCCAGAATGTATCTATCTATCTAATCATTCCGTCTTATCACTTATCAGTAAACGTTATCAGTAAGAGCGAAAGAGAGAGAGAGAGAGAGACTAAAACTGATCATTTAAATAACTCGAAAGAAAAAAATAAAAATTTTTTCATTCAGTCTCATAATGAAATTTAAATTTTTTTAAAAAATATTACTATTATTATTATTATTACCGTAATAAAATATCTAATACGAAACAACGAACGAATTAATAATAATAATAATTATTTAATTAATTAATGATAATAATAATTAAAACTTTTGAAACTTTTTAACTAATGGTAAATTTACAAAACTATAGATCGATCGATTATTTTATTATTATCATCATCATCTCTTACATTTATTTATTTATTTAATAATAATAATAATAATTATACGGGTATCATATTTCAAAATTAATTAATTAATTTATAATTAATAATTAGACGATAGGTAATAAATAAGTAAATAAATAATTAAAATTTTTTTTTTTATCTCAAACTACGAAAAATGATATTTTAAGGCTTTCGATTCTTTTTTTTTTTTCTTTTTCTTTTTTTTCCACGTCATCGCAATCAACATCATCATCATCATCATTATTATCATTAATTTTTCCAGAATTTTCTTTTCGACGTAAAAGAAATTTAAATTATGTTTATGATATGTTAACAAAAAAAAAAAAAAAAAATGAAAATTTTCGCATTCGTTATATTTTTATTATTTATCTCTCATTTAAATCTAATTAAATAAATTTATTGTTATTATTATTATTAAATAATAAAAAAAGACGAACAAACGAACAAACAAACAATCTATGAAACAACAGTAACAACAGACAGCAACAATAAATAATAAATATTATTAAATAATAATAACGAATAAATTTTTTTTTTTTTTAAATTAAAACAAATAAATAAAAATAATGATAATGATAATAATAATAAATAACTTATTTATGTGTATATATATATATATATATATATATATATATATATCATATCTATCCAACTATTATGTATATATTTATTTATGTATAATAAATACAAATTTTGATATATATATATATATATATTTTAATCATTAATAAAACTTTTTATTTAAATCTTAATAAGTTTTTAATAATAATAATAATGTTTATTTATTTATTTATTTACTTACTTATTTATAACTCACATAATTAAAAATATCATAACAAAATTTATTATTATTATTATTAGTATTAGTATTTTTATTATTAATATTTTTCGTCGATATAAAACCTCAAAAAGGTCGTAAAAATAAAAATGAAAAAAAAAAAAAAAGAGTTAATAGAGAGGAAGAGAGAGAAAAAGAGAGAGAGAGAAAGAGAGAGCGAGTGGGGGAGGGAGGGAAAGGGGGAGAGAGAAAGAAAGAGATAGAGATATATGAAAATACTTTTTGAAGGTTTTAATCGATTCTAACGTTTTTTTTTTTTTTTTACAACAACAACAACAACAACTACGAGTCTCATTTTTTTTTTAATAAATAAATAAATTATTATTATTATTATTATTATTATTATTATTATTATTATTATTATTATTATTATTATTATTATTATTATTATTATTATTATTATTAATATTATTATTATTAACAGGTAAATCACAATTGAATTTTAAATATGGCACACGGATTTAATTTTAAATAAATAAATGAATAAATAAAATATTATTGTTATTAGTAAGTAAAATAATTAAAATTTTAAGGTTTATTGCATTCGTTTGTTTGTTTGTTTGTTTGTTGGTGTGTGTGCCATTAAATTTAATCGAGACAAAAAAAAAATTTTTTAATCGTCCCACGTTGGAAATGCTAAAGGATCCGATACGAATAATCCGCTTCTCGACGTGTTGTAATCTTGACCCGATTGTTGTTGTGTTGTTGTTTGTTGTTGTTGAGTCGGAGACGGTGGTGCAAAAACTCCTCCTCTATATTCATCCGTTTTAGGTATTGTCAACTCGATGTTTTGCGGACATTCCGGTTCGCTCGATTCTTCCACTTCCGTTTCCAACGTGCTGTTTTTAATACCGTATTTAAAATAAACTAAAAGACCTGTAATCATAATCATCATCATCATTTATTGTTTCTTACGAATAATTTTTTGTTTGTTTTCGACTTACCTACAATCATCCAAATGGTAAATCTTACTAACGTCAATATTGAAAGTTTAAAAATTAAATATATGTTAACGGTAACTGCTATTGCCGGTACAAATGGTAAACCTGGTGTCATGAACATTAAAGTTTTCCTTTAAAAAATAATAAAAAAAAATTTTAAAACCGGAAGTGAAAACGAATAGGGTAGGGGGAGGGGTGGGAGACACCAACTCACTTGTTTTGCGGTTTTCTAGATATTATTAATAAAACTCCTATTATGCCAATAAGAAAAACAAATAGGAAAAAAGTCGTGGCCCAATTCATGTTTTCCAAACCGGCAACTATAATTAAATCGAAAATAAATATTAACAAATAAAGAATTGCCACCATTTTGATAACAAACATTCCGGATTCGGTTGTTGCCGGTCCCGTATCCACCCATGGAAATATTGCCGGACACAAATATGTGAGCGCCTGTGAAAAAATTGAAATTTTTTTTTGTTAATTCGACGCGCCCACAAATTTCTTTTCTTTTTTTTTTTTTTTTTTTTTTTAATTTCATTGTTTGTTTGTTTGTTTGTTGTTTGTTTGAATTAATAATTCTCACCTGAAATCTTCTACCTAAATTTCCCAAGGCGGGTCCCATACTTCCAGTATTACAACTCGCTGCACCCGGTAGCGAACCGTAAAATTTATTTTCGCTACGATCCGATACTAAAAATTGATCGTCTTTCATTCCAAATTCTTCATCATCGCCCGGATAAGTATCGTCGCTGTCTGGAGAAGATCTCGTCACTCTTCTAACCATGACCTTAAACGTAAGAAAAATTAAATTCGTGTGAACGTCAACGGAATGGGGGGGAGGATATAAATCTACAAGCTTAAACTATCGGAATCAGTAAACGACTAACTCGTTGTCTACTAATGTCGGATGGAGTCGGCGAATAGGAAGTAGGTAGAGGCGATGATGCTCCTTCAAGTGCTGACCTCAATTCATCCGGATGAAGTTTGTTTCCGAAAACGACTTGCCCATTACTCATCGTTTCCTTCGTCGGTGAACCTTTTACCGGAGTTCTCAATGATTCCGGTAATAGTTCTATCAAGTTCGTGGAATGGGGTTGGTAGCGAAGTATCAACACGCATGTCGATACGAGAGTATATGCCAACAGTGTACCTGTTGATTTGAAAGAAACCATTTACCTTCCAAACCCTTCGTTGAAATCATAAATTATATAAATTTTTCCAACCTACCGATGGACATCATTTCAACGAGTATTTCTAATTTGAGAAAAAGTGCCGCGACGGCAGCAGACAATCCGGAAACTAATGTTGCAAAAGCTGGAGTACCCGTTAGAAACCATATGTGTGATAATTGTCTGAACAAAAATAAAATTTTCTCAACTTATATCAATCAAACAAGCAAGAGAGCGTGTAAAAATATATATTTACTTAAATATTAAGCCATCTTGTGCCATAGCATAAACGATTCGAGGCATTGGAAACATGGAACCGAACATTGAAACCGTCAAACCTGCCAATGCTCCAACAGCTACTATATATTTACTATTGTACGCACCGACTTGTCCAAACATTTCCACCAAAGCCGAATCCGGATCAACTTCTTCGTACGGCACTGAAAATTACGTAAAAAAACCTCATAAATAAAATAACGACGCCATTTTAAACCGCCGTAAATATCGATCTATTTTCTTTTTTTCTTTTTTTTTCCTAAACGTAATGCACCAGAAAAAAATATGGAAATTTTCCCTTAATTTTCCTCTTCCCGTTTTTTTATCCCTCTTCCTCTCCCCTCCCCTCCTTCCCCCTACTCCTCCCGATTTTTCGATATAAATAAAAAAAAATGGGGGAAAAATTTTTTTTTCAAAAGTTATAAATAATTTATATTATTCCGTATTCGATCCGAAAGTATTTTGAACATTTGACACGATCGGAAAAAAAAAGGTCATTAATTATGACCGACAAACCGAGTTTTAACGGTTTTATCATTTCCGGTAGTAGTATTAGTCGTCGTGGTAGTAGTAAATATTACGTATTTTTTCTTTTATATGTCACAAAACCGTTTCCTGTTTGATTTCCGCTCGTCGTCGTCTTTGTAACATCGAATTGATGTCACTTTTTAATCGTCTGTTCCTCTGTTCGTTTGTTTGTTTGTTTGTTTGTTTGTTTGTTTTCGGATGAATATAAAAATTTAATCTCACCGATCAGAGTTAACATCATCGAACTCGTTACGTATGCAATTAATATTATAATTAGACTTGATACTATCGCATACGGTATTGATTTCTTTGGATTTTGTGCTTCTTCTCCGGTTGTTGCAATTATATCAAAGCCAATGAACGCGTAAAAACAAGTTGCTGCACCCGTAAAAACCTGGAATATGAAATAATAATAATAATAACGACGAGAATTAAAAAAAAAAAAAAATATAAATCATTTAAAAAAAAAAAAAAAATATCAATATAAATAAGTCGTTGTTGTCGTTGGTAATAAAGCCTTTTCAAGAAGTTATGGAGGATATACCACGTGATACAAGGTAAGAGAATATTCTGGAGAAAAAAAAAAATCGTCATGAATGATGTTTTTTTTTTTTTTTTATAATAATCTTTAGCAAACTATCATAACAAAAAAAAAAAAATATTTTGTTATTTCAAAGTTCATTTTTATGGTTTTCCATCATCTTGGTAGGTTTCAACTTTTATTTAAAACTTGTTTTTATTATTATTATTATTATTGATGTGTTTGAAGGAGTTAATGTATTTGGAAAATGGCGTTAGTTACGTACCCCTGACCAACCGTAGGGTAAAAATCCTTTATGTTCAGACCAATTTTCTCCATCAACGTAAAATAATCCGGCAGTCATGACGAAAACCCAAACGGCTAAATTAATCGCGTTTAATATATTATTGAATATCAATGATTTTTTAACTCCCGCCGCCATTATTATCATCATTAAAATCGTTATTATGAATGATAAAAAGTCTGGAGGATGACCTGGAACGATAAAAAAAAAACTTTTTATATTCTCCAGCGATCGATATTTTTCCAATACTTAAATATAATCGTAACGTACGAATGGAATGTATTATTATTATCGTATTAAAGTTGTAAATAATAATCATAATAATAATAATAATAATAATTTAGGTCGTAAACGAAAACTAAGGTATTAGATATTAATAATAATTAATTTTATTTATTTTTTTTGTTTTAAATATTGCGCGCTCATGGAAAATTTTTCTTCCGGAACGTTCCATTTTTTTTTTTTAACATTAACAATCTATCGAACGGAAACGAAAAACAATACGTCAGAAACGTCTGGGGGGCGGGAAAACAAAAAAAAAAAAATTTTCTTTTATCCCTTTTTTTTCCTTTTCACCTTTCACCTTTCACTCTTTATTTAATTTACTTTCTTTTCCTTTTTTCCTTTTCCTTTTTCATCGCATTTCTCGAAATCAAAACTTTTCTTTTCTTCAACTATCACAAAAACCTTTTTTTTGTTTTTTTTTTTTTATAAAATTTATTTACAAATTTAAAATTTTTTTAAATCGATCGATTAATCGATCGATATATCGATAAAATAATTCGAAATATTTCAAAGAAAGAAAAAACGCAGACGACGTTTTTTTTTTATTAAATTAAAAAAAAATTTAATTTTTTTTTTTTTAAAGTAAAAATAATTTAAAAGTTTTTTCTTTTTTAATAATAATAATAATAATAATAATAATAATGATGATGATGATTATTTCAAACATCAAACCGAACAACAAAATTAATTTTTTTTTTCCTTTTGTTAATTACAAAAAGAAAAAAAAGAAAAGAAACGTTCATTTAAATTGAATAGAAGTTTTTTTTTTTTAAAATCTTCGCGGGTATCCGACGCCTACGTCGAAAACGAATAAAAAAAATTATTATTATTATTATTATTATTAATATTTAGTCGGGACGACCTGTCGGTAAACCTACACAAAAATTTTTTTTTTAACACAAATTTTAACCTTAAGTAACATTTAAATTTAATTTTTAATTAACTTTTTCTTATCACTATCATTATTATTATTATTAATATTAATATTAATTTAAAAAAATTTTTTTTTTTTGATTAATAAATTTATTCGTTAACATTTTAACCATTTATTAATTTTGACTTTATTGTTATTAACCGATTATTATTATTATTAATTCTATTTTTCTCTCTTCCACTCTCTCATTTCCTATGAATAAATTTTTACTTGCGGAAAATAGAAAAAAAAATTTTTTTTATTTTTTCAAAATTATTATTATTATCATCATCATTATTTCGAAAACTTCATAATGAGTTTCTCTTTCTCTGTCTCTCCCTCTCTCTCACTCTCATTTGTACTTTTAAAAGTTTTTTTTTTTTAAAACGATCCCACACAAAGATTTTCATTCGGTGAAATTTCATTTTTAATACTCAAAATTCTTTTTGATTTTTCCCCAAAAAATTATTATTATTATTATTATTATTATTATCATCATAGTAATTAAAACTTTTAATCTGGAAAATAATTCTTTTGGAATTTTCTAGAAATTCTTACGAATAAAATGATATCAATGACGTGTGTGTGTGTGTGTGTGTGTGTTTGTGTGCTATTAATAAAATTATTTTTGAAAGAACGCGTGGGTCGTCCCACGCAATTCCATTACCTATTATTATTATTATTATTATTACTATTATTATCATTATTATCACTAATGAGTAAAGATGAAAAACGGTAAACTTACGCCAAAAAATTATTATTATTTTTTTCTCTAATACAAAATTCTTAAATTGAAATTTCTTTTCTCTCCAAGAATTCTCATCAACCCGAAAGATTTCCTCACTGAGCGATAATAATAATGATATTTGAATGAATTCATATTTACCAAACATGGTTCCGAAGGTTTCTGCTGTCGCGTTGCTTATTTTCCCGTTTGTTAAAGCATTCAAACAAGCGCTCAATGCGCAAGAACATGCTGCCGTACCAATAAGATATTCGAGTATCATGTTCCATCCGATGACGAAGGCAATGAATTCACCGACGGTAACGTAACTGTACATGTATGCAGAACCTGTCGTGTGTGGTACTCTAACGCCAAATTCAGCATAACAAGCCCCTGAAAACAAACAAACAAACAAACAAACACTTAATACCTTATGCAACATCTTCTTTTCCAACAACAACATCAACATCATCGTTATTGCTTTCATTTATCTTGAAAAAAGAGATACGAAAATAAAAATTCATTCATTCATTCACTCATTCACTCATTCATTTACTCATTCACTCATTCATTCATTCATTCACTCACTCGTTTATTATAAAAAATAATATTTTACAACTTTTTTCTTTTTTTTTTTGTTTTCAGAAAAGCCGACGGAAAATTAATTTGATAACAATTAACTCGCGTTATCAATTCGACGATGATAAGACTATTCAAAAAAGGAAGAAAAAGGAAGAAAAAGGAAAGAAAAAGGAAGGAAAAAGAAAGGAAAAAGGAAGGAAAACAAAGGTAAGAAAACAATAAAATTAATATAAAAAGAAAAAAAAAAAATTTTTTTTTCTTTTTTTTTTTTTTTTTTTGTTTCCCCCCACAGACCGTTTGTTTAACTTTGAAAAACTCAACAACAAAATAAAAAAATTATTTATAGCGTCGTTTGTTCGTTCGTTTGTTTGTTTCATGGTCATAAAAATAACAATCGATGCTCGTGATTTCTTTTTTTTTGTTATGATATCGAAATGATAATGGCTGAACGACAAAAATGTAACAAAAAATTTTCTTTTTTTTTCCTTTTTTTTTTTATTACGTAATTTTTATACGTTTGAAATGAATGCAACTTTATTATTATTATTATTATTATCTCTAATCTCTCTCTGAACAGGAAAATTTTTATCTTGTTCTTTTTAGAAGGGGGGGGGAAAGGAAAAGAAAAATCCTTCGTGGTTTCAGACTACTACTATTTTTATATCCTTTTTAAAAAAAAATGAAAAATTGCCGACGGAATCAAAAAAAAAAAAGCAGAAGAAAAAGAAAATTTCATTTTCACTTTTTTCTTTTTTTTTTTTTTTTAAAAAAATAGATTTACAAAAGGAAAAAAAGGAAAGAAAAGGAAAGAAAGGAAAGAAAAGGAAAGGAAAGAAAATTTTCCGACGTCAAAAACGACATTGTTGTGTTTTTACTTAAAAGTTTTTAATTGTTTTTTTTTTATTAAATTCCGACAAACGGCAAAACAATTTAAATCGATAATAATAATAATAATATCATCCCTCCCCCCTTTGGTTGTTGTTGTTGTTTTAAACTTAAAGTTTTTCCTCGTGATACGTCACATGCGCCCAAAAGTTTTATTTAGCCTCATATAAAGTAAATCAATATTAATGTCGAGAATGCGGTCGACGACGACGAGAACAAAACGTTATATTTAATAATCGTTTGTTCGTTTGTTTGTTTGTTTAAACAATAAAAAATTAAAATAATTTTAAAACGTCGTTTTGTTTCATCATCAACGATCAATAATCGATTCGTGTCTGTTGTTTGAAACAACCTTTTTTTTTATTTTCGTAAATTTTTTTTTTTAACTAACAAACAAACAAACAAACAATCACACATCGTCATCATCATCATTGCGTTTTGTCCGTTTGTCGAATTCGAAATTAATAAATGCGATTTGATAAATCAACGAAATATCAAATTTAAATTCATTCATTATCGATAACATTTTGACGTGTAGTATTGATGATTTTAAAAGGATTGAAAAAAAAAAAATTTCTTTTTCCTTTTTTCCTTTTTTTCCTTTTTAATTTACGACACCTGTCACTTATATTGTTTTCCTTTTGTTATCCCGGGAATCGTATGAGAGTTAAAAAAAAAAAAAAAAATTTAAATCGGGATAAAAACATAATTTATCATTTAAAATTTAAATTGAAATTTAACCTACTATTATTGATAATAATAATAATGATAATGATAATGATGATGATGATATTTTAAAAACGATAAAATGAAAAATTTTCCACGGATGAAAATCATCACGTAAATGTGATAATAATAATAATAGTTTTTACCGTTACCGATAAAGCGCGTTCATAAACATTTACCATTTAGAATTTTCCTTTTTTTTCCTTTTTTTCATTTCCTTTTAAAAAATGGCTTCTCCTTTTTGACTTTTAAACATTATTAATAATGATAAATTGAATTGATAATAATAATAATAAAAACTCTCTAAGGTTTTGGAGTTTCAAAAAAAGGTTTTTCTAAAGATTCGAAAAGGATTTTTTTTAAATCCTTTTTTTTTGGGGGGGAGGGGATGTGGGGGGCGGAAACGTACGAGAAAAACGTAAATAAATTTTTATCGATTTCACGAAAATTATTTCGTGAAATTAACCGTTTAAAAAAAAAAAAAGAGAGAGAAAAATTAAACATGCAACAAGGTTGTTAGTCTTATAAAAATTTATTTCTGCTTCCACGTTAAAAAACATTCATTAAATTTTGATTTTTTTTTTGTAATTTTCCCGGCAACGGCTTTTCTCCCTCCCATTCCCATTCCCTTTTCGGTAATGCCCTTCCTGTTTTCCTATCCGTTTTTATCCCCTCCCCCATTCTTTTTTTTTTTCTAAATTTTTTTTTAATTACGAGAGAAAAAAAACAAACGAACAAACAAACAAACAAACCACAAAATAATTTTTTTTTTTTTATTCTCCGATTTCGCTTCTACCCCACCGTGTTCATGCCTTGAAAAAAAAAAAAAAATGAAAAACCCCCCGGTCGAGTTTTTATTTTTCTCCAGGAATTTTTATAATAATAATAATAATAATAATTAAATACCGTCTCTGGAAGGTTTCTCCAAGGTTTTTCCTTTTTTTTTTTTCTATTAATAAAAGTTTTTTTAATTTAAGTTGTCTAACCCTTAATGAGAGAATATTTAATTTAAATAAAGAAGATGAAAGAAGGGGTTTAAATTTTTCAAAATGGGTTTTTTTCCCCCCCAATTTTACAAAATTACGGTCAAATATAAATTTTCAAACCCTCCTCCTCCCCTCCAAAAAAAAATTATTATTAATTATGGGAAAAATTTAACGTCGCGTGATTATAAATAAATAAAACAACAATTATTATAAGGATTTCATATTTTTCCCCTGTACCATCGAATACTACTCCCACGGATACGTGAAAAAACGGTTTTCTAAAACCACGAAAAAAATTCAGCCATGATTTTTTTTTGAAAAATAATAAATTAAAATTTGTAGGGGTAAACTTAAACCGCCCCAGAATATTTTTTTTATTATACACTTGAAGTAATTTTTTTGATATACAACAACAACAACAACGATGTCGAATTATATTATACCGTTATAATATTTGACCTTTTAAAACTTTCCATTCCCCCCCCCTCTCTTTTTCTTTTCCTTTCTTTCTCTCTCTCTATCTCTCTCTCTCTCTATCTTTCTCGTTTTTTTGTTTTTTAACCCGAACATTATTTAAATAAAAACGGAAAATTTTCATTTTCATTTTTTATTTTTTATTTTTATATATTTAAATAAAATATTTCGCGAATGGGAAAAAATTTTATTTTTTTTTTTGTAAAAATTCAACGGAACCGGTGCGTGTATATGTGTGCGTGGGTGCGTTTGTGCGTCGGTATTTTAATAAAATAAAAAAAAAAATTTCTTTTTTGCTAACGAAACGAAAATAATTTAAATATTTTAATGTTTTTAAACATAATAACACCTGCCACATGTGCACGCGGGTGTGTGCAAGCGTGTGTGCGTGTGACTTTTTACCTTAATTAATATTAAAACTAAACTAAATAACCGCCATATTTGTTTTATTATTATTATTATTATTTTTTTTTTTTGTAAAAACGTGAATTTTTTAAAACTTAAACAAACCTTCGCCGAATTTTAATAATGATGAAAAGTTTCACACGTTCGTTTTCAACCCCTTTTTTAAAATATTATCATTATTATTTTTAAACGATTCGTTACGAAAAAAAAAATGTTGTAGTCTGCTTTAAAATTTTCTTTTACAAATGAATTTTTAAAATATTTAAAATTTGGGTCAATATCATCGCGAATGAACTTAAAAAATTTTTTTTTTTTTTAACGTCTTTTAAAGTTTGAATTTTATTATTATTATAATTTTTTAAATTTAATGAAGTTAATTTTTTTCCCTCTTCCCTTCTCTTCCCCTCCCCTTCTTCCCTCATCATTTTACCCTTTGACCTTTTCCCGTTTCGCTTTTTTTCTCTCCTTCCCTCTTACCCTCAAAAAAAAAAAAAAAATTGAATTTCATTTTATAATAAATTTTTTTTTAATGGGGAAAACAAACAGAAAAAAAAATTCGAAAAGCAGACGAAAAAATAATAATAATAATAATTGTAATAGCAGACGACGAAATAAAATAATTTTTTTTTTTTAATTGCAAAAAAAAAAAAGAAAAATGGAAAAATTTACCTGAAAATATGGAAGCAACCGCGGCAATGATAAATGAAAAAATGACTCCAGGTCCGGCATAATTTTTTGCAACCATTCCAGCAACCAAATACATTCCAGTACCGACGCACGACCCAACTCCTAATGACGTCAAATCCAACGTTGACAAGCATTTCTAAAAATTTAATAATAATAATAATAATAATAAATTTTTTTTTTTTTTAAACTTTCGACAATTTTTGTTGGTAAAAACTTCTTTCTTTTTTTTCCGGGGGGGGGGGTGTGGCGGGAGTAGGGTAAAGGGGAGATGAAAAAATTGAAAGATTTTAATAATAAACATCTCCACCATCTTCTTCTTCTTCATCTTCTTTTGTATTTTTATAAAAAAAAAATTATTTTGTATCACAAACGACGACAACAACAAAGACGCCATAAATAACGTTAAACTGATTTGAATATAAAAAAAAAATTTTTTTCCTTCTTCTTCTTCTTCTCCTTTGAGTTTATCAACCTTTTCATAAACCTGATAAAAAGTTTATTATTATTAATATTTATGAATTTCTTCGTTTCCTACTATTTTTCAATAATAATAATAATAATAATAATAAAACGTAAAGTCTTATACGGGTAGAAAAAACTTAATGATATTCATCAAAACGAGTAGGCGAAACAATTTTTAAAAAAAAAACCTTCCATCTTATCATTTTTTTGTTTATGATAAGAAAACAATAACAAAACACCGTGTTATTATTATTATTATTATTATTAATATTTACCATTGTTATAAACGAATTAAAAAATCATTAAAAAAAAAAAAATTTTTTTCAAAATGATGATTGTTTTGTTGTTTGTTTAGGTTTTACAAAGTTTAACAAATCATTTTGACCCAAATTAACCATAACCGGGTTCAAATAAATAAACCGAAAAAAAAAAAATTTTTTTTTTGAATGACTGACTACCGTAGAAACAAACGATAAATCGATTGTTTATATAAATCAATCAATATCGATCGAGTGTAGACAAATGATAGATGAATAGGTAAAAACGTCAAATATTATGACCGATCGATAAATAATTTATTGATTTTATAAAAAAAAAACAATTTATGAAATTTTAAAGTGAGGATTTTAATAAGAAGACTCTTAAATATTTTTACCTCATTCAAAACAACAACAACAACAACAACAAACAAACAATCGATCATTTTTTTTAATATTTACGTCACCCTCGAGGAACTTTTCGAGAAAAAAAATTTTGTTACGCGATTTTTATTCGACACATAAGTTAACAATAATAATTAATAATTTTTTTTTCACTTAATAAATTTTTTTTTAAATATTCATTCAACCCATACTATAAATTCTACATCTTCGAGTGATAATAATAATAATAACGCCTGCATTTTCATTAAATCATTTTACTTTAAACATTACTTTTTATTATTATTATTATTATTATTATAAGTTTAAAAAATGCAATTTCTTTGGTTCAAAGTAAACATTTTACAAAACATAAATAATAATTAAATAAGAAAAGAAAAGTCAGACAATGCATTAGACATTTTTTAACTGACATAAAGATATATGTATGTAGAGAAATAGGGGGAGGGGGAGGGGGAGGGGGAGGGGGAGAGATAGAAATACGCGGGTATTATGACCACAATCAAACAAAGAAAAGTTGTCCCCCCGGTACATTTTAAATATAATTTTTTTTTTTTTTTTTTTGTAACAAATGACTAATGACAGTTTTGAATTGTTTAAATGGGTCTAAAATATAATCAATATTGATACGAATCCATGAATGTTTTGTAGATTGATGGCATCCTCTTTTTTTTTTTTTTGTTATCTTTTGATGTGTTCAACAGGTTTTTAAAAAACTCCTCTTAAGAATTTTTTTTTTAAACATACCTGATTATTATTATCTTAACAAGGTAGTAATACTTTTAATGTTTTTCTCCTTTTTTTTATGTAACCGTTTTTATGTTTGAGGGAAAGATAAAAGAAAAATCCATGAGAATGTTTTTTGTTATTTAACATAATTTATGTTATATATACCGGTAATTATTTATCCTTTAATTAAAATAATAATAATAATAAAACGCCATTTTATTTTCTCAACAAACAATAAGAGAAAGAGAGAGGAAGAGAGTTAAAATAACAAATTTTTTTTCTCTTTTCAAATTTCATTTTTCCTATTAAAGTCGATTTTATTAAATAAGAAAAAAATTACTCATTTACATAATGTTCAAACTATCCGCCATTATTATTATTATTATTATTATTTATTGATTGCCTTTTAGCAATTTAAAAATTATATTTTACAAAACAAAAACTTCAAAAGAATTGTTGTAATCATTACTACCAGAAAACACAACTAATTTCATTATATTAATGATCTGGACATGTTATATTATGGTGGCATGAATGTGGTACAAATTATTATACCACATTAGTGCCATTGCAGCATGAGAAATTTAAAACATATTTACTTTCATGTGTTTGAATAATTTTTCTTAAAAACTTTACGTGTAAATTTAATATTTAAGAATACTTTTCTTCAAGATGAAAATAGATTTGGAAAATTAAAATTTTAAAATTTTCCAAAAGACATGAAAAGAAGGAAGGAAGGAAGGAAGGAAGTTGATCAAACATTATTTATTATTACAACAACCTTTACCTCTCATCCTTATTAACAGAAATACATTATTATTATTCTTTAACACCTTTTCATCATCATTAACAAAAACTTCTTTCTTTTAATAAAACATTAACATGAAACAAAATATGTTTTTTTTTTTATCATTAAACTATAAGTTTGGATTATCATTGACTGACTTTAAAATTTTTGCTACAATTCATTGAATAACAGGTAATAGTACTCACTTGTAATTTTTGTTTTTTATCATCGTTTGTTTTTTGAACTCCAAGTATAACGGTTTCACCCTGTAGTTTATCTACATTTTTCGTTCTTATTAATTTACCAAACAATGCCAAACCTTTAACTTTTAATTCAGCTTTGTTTTCTAACGGTTTTAACAGTTCTGGAAGTTTCATTCTGAAAAAGTAAAAAAAAAAAAAAACAAGATAAAAACAAAAAAAAGGGTTTTGTCATATTTATATATTGTGTTGTTAATTATCATTTATCATAGGGATAAAAATATGAAATGGTTGTGACAGTTTTATAAAAAGTTTTTTGGAAAAGAGAGAGAGAGAGAAAGAGAGAGAGAGAGAAAGAGAGAGAGAGAGAAAGAGAGAGAGAGAGAGAAAGAGAGAGAGAGAAAGAGAGAGAGAGAGAGAGAGAGAGAGAAGTCTGTATACCAGAAGGATTGCATTTCCTTTTAAAATTTACACGCTTCATTTTGATAAAATAAAATAAAAAAAGGAAAAGGGAAAAATTTTTTTATGTTTTTGCTGAGTATAAAAAAAAAAATACAAAGTCAATTTTTAAAATGTAATAAAAAAAAAAAAAAAATGTGGACATTTTTTACAACATGGTGTGTTGGTTATAATGTGTGCTGTTGTGTGTGTTAAAGTTAAAGTTAAAAAAAAATTTAATTATTTAGAAAGGGTATTAATATTTTATCCTTATATCAAAAACCTATTAAACAACCTATTAAAAATAAAATTAAATATAAAACAAACAAACAAACACCCCTCCCCCCTTAGGGTAATAATTGCTGTCGTTAACAATACAAAGTGTTATGAATGAATGAATGAAAAAATTGTTTTTTTGCATAACTAAGTATAAAATTTTGATGTTATTTAATCTCGGATAAAACAAAACAAAAAAAAGATTAAAAAAATGCAAACTTTACATTTTTTTTTTGTCCATTTTTAATTAGATAAGAAATAAAAGAAATAAAAATCTGTTGAATTATTATTATTATTATAATTTTTATACTCACAGAGTAAGTAATAAAAATTGTGTCTCATTATTGTAACAAGTGAAAAAAAAAAGAAAAAAAAACTTGTTTCTATTAATGTCGCGTTATTTACTTTTTTTTTTTTTTTTTTTTTTAAATACTTGTCAAAGTGCCTTTTTTTTTTTTATATGTTACTATTTGTGTAAATCAAATTATAACGTTGTTGTGTGGAGAAAAAAAAAAAAAAAAAAATTGACGTACATTATGTATTCATTCATTTAAAATCAATAATTTTATTTTCTTTATGGTTATTTAAATTAATAATAAACGTATTCTCCCTCGTTTTCTACTGACACGTATAATATCTGTCACCTACATTTGAATGATTTTAATTACGCGGTATAAACGCCGTATTTATTTACTCTGTGGAATATATTTTTCTCAGTGGTTTCTTTTTTTTTGTAGGAATGCTTCAACAGTGTTTTGTTTTTATTAAGATATTAGTGTAATAAGATCGGGAGTGATAGCAAAATTATATTTTTTATAGTCTTGAAGATGTGAAATAATATAATAAATAAGTGAATAATAATAATAATAAAACCTAAGGATGCTTTATTATGTGAGTATTAAACAATGTTATAAAATAATGAATTCCGCCATTTTGGTGCATGCAGTAAGCATTAATATGGCGTCGGTGATTTTGTACACGTGAGTAAAATGCCTGTTGCTTTTTTAAAAATATTAACAGAATCTGCTTCTCTCTCTCTCTCTCTATAGGTAATATAAAATTCAATAACTTTTCATATTTTATCTTATTTATATAATAAATTTACTTGAATTTAGAATTTTATATGTTTTTTTTAAATAGAAAAACAAACAAGTAAAATTAAACAGAATTCATATTTGAAAATAATAATAATAACCTGTTAATATTTATTAATTCTACTACTTAATATCATCTTTTAACTTAAATTTATTAAAGTATTGTATTAAATAAATAAATAATTATTAAAATTGTAACAATGTATTGAAATGTTATATAGTTTTGGTCACAGTTAAATTGAATCAATCAAATAATGATGATGTTAAAATGAATTTATTTTATTAAAAATATAAAAAGGGAAAACTTTTATTATAATTAAGAAATTATTGAGTGATTAAACACACACACACACACTCATTAATGTAAAGTTTAATTGTTATTAATCTCATTATTATTACAATATAACTTTTGTGTGTGTGTGTGTGTGTGTCAAACATGTTATAAATTTATTTTGGAATAATTTGTTTGTAATTTTTAAACTACAAAACATTTGATTTATTTTAGTTATTCTTCATACTTTATACATTCATATATGAAATTTATGTGTCAGATCATATTAATATCATGTCTATCATTACCCACACACAAACACACACACACACACACCTAACTTATTCATTCAAATCTATTGATGTTGTTTTCACACATATTTGAAATAACAACCAAACTTTCATCACAAACTACTACTACTACTACTACTACTACCACTACTACCATCACACCAAAAAAACAAAAGCAACAACCTTTTTTTAACATTTCAATTGTTGTATTATAATCTGTTTTGCTTTGTTAACTTTATTTGTAATAAATGACAAAATGCAAGCAAATAATAATAATAAACCTGAATATTTTTTTTTTCTATAATGTCATGATATAATTAATCATATAAATATATAATCAATCATTACTTGATATATAAACACACAGAGAGAGAGAGAGAGAGTGGGAGAGTGGGAGGGAGGAAAGAAGGGAAGGGGAAGCATTGAATAAAGAAAAAAAAATATTGATTTATATATTACATGAAAAGAGGCCTTATAGCATAAAGGCAGGAAATGGGCTATAAGTCACTTTGGTTTACAAAAAAAAAAAAAAACATATTTTAAATAGCATGTAAAAGGACCAAAATTTTTTACATTTTGATGTTAAAAAAAATTATTTTAATTAATTAACCATTCCCCCCCTTCCCTCCTGCTCCCTTCCCTCTTGACATATAAGGGTATTATTATATAGAATTTAACTATTTAAATCTTAAAACGAAACAGGAAAAAAAAAATGACTTGTCAGTATATATATATATATAGAAGGTCAAAGTCTTATGACGCAAACTCAAAAAAAAAAAAAGAAATTTTTTCTATATTCGTATTTTTTTTTTTTTTTTGATTGAAGCTCTAAAAATTTGTTTTTTTTTTTTGGGGGGGGGAGGAAGGGCAATTATTTAATTTTATATATATATAAATAAATAAAAATAAATTTTTTACGATCGAATTTTCGTGTTACGGTTTTAAATAATAAAAAATTTATTTTTATTTCAATTTGAATCTTTCTTTTTTTTTTTTTCTTTGCTTTTCTTTTATTTCCTGTTGTTCCCTTTTACAAATTATTATTATTATTATTGTTAAATCATTACATTTTAGACCGACCGACTCCTGACCCTTACTAATTTATTATTATTATTATTATTATGTTTATTTATATCCGGTAATTATTGTTTAATGTTTATTAATTTGTTTTTATTCATCATGCATACTTTTTTAGTTAATATTATTATTATTATTATTAGTTTTTCACGAGGTGGAGGTGGAGGGGGAAGAGAGAGGAAAGAAAAGTAATTAAACATTTAAATCTTCATTTTCACGTTTTTTTTTTTTGGTTGTTTTTCTTCATTCAATCCCTGGAAAATTTTAAAAAAAAGAGGGAGCAGAATGTTTTTCTTTGTAAAATCCCATAAATTAATTATTTTTTATAAGTAAAAAAGGGATTTACAAAAAAAAAATGAAGAAACAAAGGAAAACATAGAATTTGCCTTACCTAAATGTCTAACAACAGTTAAAATATTAATCCTTTTTGTTTATAACTATGGAAGATAGAGAAAGAAAGAGAGAATAAAAGGAGAGAAAGAATGAATGAGAGAAAGAGAGATGGAGAAAAAATTTTTTAGTTTCAGGTACAAATTAGGATCACATTTATTTTTATTTTTTACATATAATAAATTCACACAAATTAATAGGTTATTATATAACCCCTTTTGATTTTATATATTGAAAAAAAAAATTTTCTTTTTGTTAGAGAAAAGGTTTTGTTGTATTTTATTATTTAACTTCCGGTTTAGTTATAACATAGAATATTCTAGAAATTTTTTTAAATATATGTGTGTGTATGGATTTTTTTCTTCGTTTCGAATGCGTGGGATCACATTGAATTTGTTTTAATGTCAAAAACGGATTTCATTTTGACTTTTTTTTTTTTTATTTTTTTCCCGGAACCGAATTCGTGAAAGAATGAAAGAGAGATAGATAGAGAGAGAGAGAGAGAGTGTGTGTGTTGAAGAGAAAGAAAGAAATGTGAACGAGAAGGGAAAAGAAAAAATAAAATTTTTTACAATTTTCAGGGGTTTTTTTTTTTTTTTTTTTTTTTTTTAAAATAAAATTTTCACTTCACTTTTTTTTTTTTTCATTTAAATTATAAAGTACACGATTAACTCGCATGTACATTAACACAAATGTAATTTTCCCTTTTTTTTTTTCTTATATATTATTGAAAAAGAAAGGGGAACACACACACAAAAAAAAAAAAAAAAAAATTTTACACGGAAAACGTATCCGTACGAAATTTCCTCTTTTTTCCGTTAGCGCGACCCCGAAACTGATTTTCCAGAATGGATCAAGTTCCAGAGTGGTGGCGCAATAACGTTGTAAAATAAATTCAAAACTGGAATTTTTATTTCACATCCCCCTTCCCCCGATCCCTCATTTCCCCTCATTTTTCAACAAGTGAATGAGTTTGCGAATTTTTTTTTTTTTTTTCTTTTTTAAATAATTTTTATTTTTTAATCCGTTTTGATAATAATGATAATAATAGTAATAATAATAATAACAACAATTTGTTTTTTTTTCAAGGTAGAAACACACGCGAGAAAAGCATTCGTTCCTTTTTTTTTTTTTTCTCTCGAAAAAAAATTTTAAAATTATTTTTCACGCTATAAAATGCCTTAAGAGTTTTTTTATGTTCGCTATGACGTCACTCACACAATAATAATTTATTTAATAAAACGCGAAAAAATCCCCGTGTGAAAATTCCCGTATCTTTTTATACGATGAACGTATTTGGAAAATAGGGAAAAGCATGCGCTCTGAGTGAAAACTCATTCC